TTCTTTTTATCCTATCATCTTTGATTACTTGGACATTTAAAGGCCTCTGCCCATTCTTGTTGAATTCCTGCATGGATAGAGTCCTCAGTGCCAGGAGAGTTCAGGCCATCACATTCACCAGAGCGGTGGAAAGAGCAGAAGTTCTAGACGTTAAACATTCGCTAAATTCCTTTTCCTCGATGGAAGTAGCCTGCAGAAGATGGCTGAAATAGAAGTGGGGGTGGGGGTTTGGAGGAAATCAAAGGGGCTTCAGGGGGAGGCAGCTGAGGCCGGGGAGGTGGCTCAGTGACTGGGGTAAAGGGTGAGCACACACCTGTATTCCCTTACATAGTCCTGTATGAATGTTTTGCCTGTATCAATGTCTGTGCACCACATACATGCAGAATCCCCTGGACTAGGGTTAAAGACGGTTTTGAGCTGCCCTGTGAGTGCTGGGCATTGAACCTGGGTCTTCTGCAGCTGTGTTCTCTCCATCCCTGACAGGCAGCTTTAAACAAATCAAGGCACAGTCTGTATAGTGTGGAGTGAAATGAACGTCACGAGGAAAACAAGGATCCAGGGTTGTAACCCAGCGGTGTGGTGCTTAGCTAGCAGTCCTGAAGCCCTGAGTCCAGTCTCCAGCACGGCATAAACCAGTCATGGTGGTACACGCCTGTCGTTCCAACACTGGGGTGGAGGCAGGAGAATCAGAAGTCAGTTCAATACACATCACATAGAATCAGAGTTCTGTGAACACACTGATCTGATAACCTAAGAGGATAGGAAGTGATTAGCACAGGGGGATAGCACCTACAGGATACCCTGGGCTGAGTCCTGTCTCAAGCAGGCTGCAACAGGGTGGCACAGAGTCCCTTTGGTTGCTCAGAATGTCAAATGATTCAAACTTTGAGAATTGTTTATCAGGGTGTGGTGGTCTCCCTCTCAGTAGGGAGACTGAGTCAGGAGGATGGCCAGATTGAAGCCAGCCTGAGCTACATATTGAGACCCTCTCAGAGGAAAAAGTAGAGGTGAAGACACAAGGAGAAGGGGGAAACAGAATTTTTAAAATCTTTTCATATATTTTCCTTTTAACTTTTCAGCCACCATTTGCCACCGGGAATTCAAACTAAGAAACCTAAGCAAGGAAAAGTGGAGCTGATGTTTCCCAGCGTATAGAACTTGACAAGCCAGCTTTCATTGGTCCAGCACATTCTGTGGGCTCCAGGATTGGCTCTCAAGTCCACCTGTAGCCCTGGGACAGCTATCCTATGATTGACAGCCAAGCTGAGCCACTCAGAATGCAACAGGCCAACCAGGGGAAGGGCTGAAAGGAAGGCGGGCCCGGAATCATCCTCCAAGGTCAAGTCTTACACAGACACACACACACACACACACACACACACACACACACACACACACACAGCTCCGACTTGCTGATTGTGAGGACTGGAAAGAGGCAGTGGCCATCCTGCCCTCAGCCACAGGGAAACCTCAGCTCTCCGAGGCCGCTCAACCCTTCCTGTGGCAGGGTCAGGTCGCTGAGTGCAAAGCCAAGCCTTTTCCACTCTGCTTGCTTGTTTGTGCGCATGGCAAAACAATGGTCCCCTTTCCAAAGAGGCCATTCACCAGGGTCTGCTCCCTCCAGTCCGGCACGTGGCTCTGCCCAGCCTGGCAGCCTGTGACAAGAGGCCACAGATGGCTTTGCCAGCCCGGCCAGCCTGAGTGCACATGTCCCCTGCCCGAGCAGCCTCCTGGCAACTCTGCCAGCCTCCAGAAGGTCTAGGTCACAGCTGTACCAACGCAAGACTAACACTTCATCTGGGTGGGGCCTCGGGGAGTTCAGTGGGTGCACTGGCTAGGAATGTGTGCTTGGAGGAGCAGGCATGTGAATGGAATCACAACAGCCCATGGAGTTTATCCACCTTACCTAGGCTCTTTTCTGCTCACTTGCAGCAGAGCCCTTTGTACATCTTCCTTCCCCCAAACCCTCCCCCCTGTTCCTACCACTGGATTTCCCAGCTCCCCAGCAGCAAGGGGAGATAGTCTATGAGAAGCAAGCATGGGTGCTGCCTTGTCCTTTACATGATAAAGAGTTAGGGGTAGAGGGCTAAACTCTGGACCACTGGCCAGCCTGCTGGAATCCGCCCTGTCTCCTGACACCTGGTCAGGTGATCTGGGTGCAGAACGGGGCTTATACCTTTTTGTTTGTTTTGTTTTTCCAGACCGGGTTTCTCAGTGTAGCCGTGGCTGTCCTAGAACTAGCTCTGTAGACCTGGCTGGCCTCAAACTCAGAGATGCCTCCTGCCTGTCTACTGAGTGCTGGGATTGAAGGTGTGCACCACCACCCCGCCCAGCCCAGGGCTTAGATTCATATTCAGACCGCCAATAGCATTCAAACACCTTTGCCCTCCCAACAGCTCCTACTCCACTGAACAAAGGAAGTGCAGAGAAGTCAGGCTGAGTGCTCAGTCAAATAGCGGCTACCCTGAATGGCTGTCCTCCAAAACCAAGGATTATGAGTTCAAAGCCAGCCTAGGCAACTTGATGGGACCCTATGTAAAAGGGGCTGGAGATCTAGTTGAGAGGTGCTCTCGCCTAGCATATGGAAGGCCCTGGGTTCAATCCCCAACATCAGAGAGGTTTGGGGCAGGGAAGACAGGAGATACTGCTGAATTACCCAGTTAACCCAGCTACTGTTGCAATGCTGGCAACTTCCAGCCAGTCTCTGCCTTCTACCTCACCACGAAGCAGAGGATGGCATTGAACTCCTGATCTTACCTTCCAGGTGCTAGGATTACAGGGGTGCACCACCGTACCTGGTTTATACAGTGAGTGAGTAGATCCCAGGGCTTCATGCGCACTAAGCAAACGCTCTACCACCTGTGCCATGCTCCTACCTCCTCATACTTTCTGATGATTGGCATTAGCAATCAGAAATTTTAAGCCTACTCTACTACAGCAGAGAGAAGAAAAGCCCCTGGACGGTGTGGGGGAAGGGATGCTCCCTGATGCAGGTCTGATGAATAAAGGTCACTGGCTCCTGGTTCAGGAACTCACAGCAGCGTGCAACATACTTAGAGCTCCCACACGCGGGAGGAGATGCAGAGGAACTAGGAGTTGCCTGGCTCCTGGCGCGAAGCTATCAGCGAGGCGAACACAGTGAGCCTAGGCTCCTGGCACCCACTCTGAAATCAGAGCCAGCTGGCATTCTATCTCTGGCTGCAGAAAAGGCAGCTGGGACCGGGCCAGCTGGGACGGGGCCTTTGGACAGACCCTCAACTGGGCAGGGGTAGCTGCAGCTGTCACTATCACTTGGCAGCCATCCTGGGTCAACTGTTGCCCAGGAGGCCTGGCCCTCCAGGCTACCTGGGTCAACAACAGGTACGATGTCACCACGCTAGGAGGTTAACTTTAATTATGTTTTAGGTTTGGGTTTTCTGTCTATTTGCTTTGAGGTAGGGTCTCACTGTGGAACCCAGACTGACCTGCTTCAACCTTCCCAAGTGCTGGGATTACAGGTGTGCGCCACCAAGCAGAATTTATTAGCAAAAGAAGCAATGTCAAGGATTCCATAAAAGATACGAACGTATATATATCCTGGGATAGTATATTATAAAAATGAACACACATCTCTAAGCACTATTGTTTTGGGCGGGGAGGAACATGGAAGATGGAAAGCAGTTCCGGGTGAGTGCGGTGGCACACACTTGTAATCCCAGCACTGGGAAGGTAGAGGCAGAGGATCATCCTAAACTATGATGAGTTCATGCCAGTCTGGCCTGGCATACATGAGACCCTATTTGTTTGTTTTTAAAGGGGAATAAAAGGGAGTAGAGGAGGCAGTAGAGATGCTGTAATGGTTAAGAGCAGGCTCTTCTTCCAGAGGACCAGAGTTCAATTCCTAGCATCCACATAGGTCTGCTCCAACTTCAGGGGATGGGATACCTCTGGCATCTGCAGGGCACCTATGCACTTTCTCTCTCTCTCTCCCTCTCTCTCTCTCTCTCTCTCTCTCTCTCTCTCTCTCACACACACACACACACACACACACACAATTTTAGAATAACAAAAACAAATCTCTAAAAACTACATGATTCTGGGGCTTCTAATAATGCATGCTTTGCTTTGTTTTTTGAGACAGGGTTTCTCTGTATACAGCCCTAGCAGTCCTGGAACTAGCTCTGTAGACCAGGCTGGCCTGAAACTCACAAAGATCCTCCTGAGTGTTAGGATTAAAGGTGTGCACAACCACCCTTCAAAAAACTTTTGAAGTTGCAAAATCATTACAATAAATCGATTTAGAAATGGTTCTCCCAGCCGGATGTGGTGGCACATGCCTTTGAACCCAGCACTCTGAGACAGGCAGGCAGATATCTCAGTTTGAGACCAGCCTGGTCTACATGGTGAGTTCCACAACAACCATAGCTATGTGGTGAGACTTGTCTCAAGATAATAATAATAATAATAATAATAATAATAATAATAATAATAAAGAAAACTTAAAGAAAAATAAAACATTTCTGCCCACCTGCCTTGCCACTCTACCCCAAACCAGAATGCCCAAATTCTGCCACACTGTAAATCTCTGACAAGATTATCTTTTCACACGTGGCCCTCCAGGACTGACAAAGGAAGGCAGTCCTCTTCCTGGTGTGTTTATAGCACCTAGAACATGCGTGGCACTGTAGCAATGGAGACTGGAGACCGCACAGCTGAAACCTCCACTGAGGGTGTGCAGGAGGGTATGAGCAGTGACCACCAAATGTTGAACATTTTTAATCTATTAACAATTGGGCCAATCTGGGCGGTGGTGGTGGTGACTGCGCAGGCAGTGGCGGCTGGAGCAGTGGCACACGCACCTTTAATCCCAGCACTTGGGAGGTAGAGGTAGGTGGATCTCTGAGTTCGAGGCTAGCCTGGTCTACAGAGTCCCAAGACAGAAGGGGCAACACTGAGAAACCGGGAGGGGGAGCACAAAAAACAAACACCCACAAACAAAAAGCAAACAAGACTGTACCAACCTGTTAACAGGAGGAGGCCGTCCTGTGGGCCTGGTGAAAGGATCTCCCGGGCCAGTCTCTCTGGGGCTGCTAGAGAAGTGGGGTGATGGCATCCCTAGGCGGACAGCTGACTTTGCCTTTAGCCTCCGGTCCAAGGGCTCCCAGACTGAGTCTGACTGGCCCTAGAAGACCTAAGCCTACTTTCCTGAAGTTGAGGGTGGAGCAGTGAGGGCTGCTGGGAGGGACGTCCCTGTCCTCGGGAGAGTGCTTTGGAGAAGTGGTGAGCAGAAGCCTTTAGCCTTTAACCTTTAGCCTATTGTGTAATAATCGCTCAGTGAACTCCCTTTAATTCTTTCCAATGACTGTTTACAAAACAAAAGAGAATTTACCATCCCCCACCCACCCACCCCCAACATTTTTCCAAGGAACAGACCAGTCCTCTGCATCTTCTGACCTCCAACAGTGTTGACAGTCAGTAAAATCCTAATGCTACCCCTCAGCCCCACCCCACTCCACCCCAGCCCACACCCTTGGGCTCCTTCCTCCCCAACTTCCCCAGGGTCAGGCTTCTCAGCAAAAACAGCCTCTTGTGACGTCTCTCTTTCCAGCCACCCACCCCAAACTCCCCTCCCCAACCTCCCCACCCTCCTCACCTCCCACCCCACTCTGGTGTTAAAAGGAACCAATTCAAACCTTTGGGAAACCTTGGCCAGCCTTAAGGAACTGCCTTACAGGTGTGGCCCAGCTTGGTCTCCTCCAGTCCACCCAGAGGCCCTGTGCTGAGCCCTCTTATTTCTCTATCAAAGTTGCTGCAGCCCAAGCCTGGTTCTGACCAATCTTGCCAAAGCCTCATCTGTTGGCCAGCTTCTTCTGAGTCACTAGCAGCACACTGTCAGCCGACAATTGCCTTCCAGATGCTTCCAACATTGCTCTGCCCAGCCAGCCCCATCCCCAGCTTCCAGAGAGGGCCAGCTACAGCCTGTCCTGCCTGAGCTCCCCTGGGCTCTCTGGTCCCTGACAACTGCTCTCCATTCACTCCAGAAAGTGATTACTTTTATTTTGTGTGTGTGTGTGTGTGTGTGAGAGAGAGAGAGAGAGAGAGAGAGAGAGAGCGTGCGTGTGTGCGTGTTTTGTTTTAACACAAGGTCTCACAAAGTTCAGAGATCCTCCTGCCTCAGCCTCACAAGTGCTTACCGCCACCACACCCAGCTTACCTAAAATGATTTTAAATATGTAAGGGGGACAAACAAGAATGGCTCAGGGTAAAGGGCTGACCACACAAATCTGATGGCCTTAGCTTGATTCCCCAGTACCCATGTAAGATGGAAAGAGAGAAGCCAAGCATGGTGAAACACACCGTTAATCCCAGCAGAGGCAGGCAGATCTCTATGAGTTCGAAGCCAGCCTGGTCTACAGAGTGAGTTCCAGGCCAGCCAAGGTTGTTACACAAGATGGAAAGAGAGAACTAAATCCACCTGCCCTCTCACTCCTACAATTGTGCCATGGCATGCATGTACTTCCTTCCATAGTCTCACACACACACACACACACACACACACACACACACACAGAGAGAGAGAGAGAGAGAGAGAGAGAGAGAGAGAGAGAGAGAGGAAGAAACGATATGTAAACCATGACCATGAAAATGCAACCATTCCTCTCCTCACCTCTAAACGCCCAGTAGCTTCCTATGGCCCCTTTCAAAGGCTGGCTTAACATGCTCTGGCTGTCTCCAGTCCTTCCAGCCCTCAGGCCTCCTCCTCCAATTGTCTATGCTAGCCATGTGGCTCAGTACCTTATTCAGCGGGGCAGCCACATCTTGCTTCTTCTTTGGTGGGCTCACAACCTTGTCTGTATTCTTTTATATTACTTTTACTGTTTCTATAAAGACTTTATTTATTTTTTAAAACTATTTCTTTTTATAACTGTCTAAATTTTTTTTCTTCTCTCTCCCAAGCCTACGTACATTTTTAAAACACACCGTGTCTCGTTTAGAGGTCTTTTATGTCTGAATCTGTCCTATTATGTATCTGAAATCCTTTTCTGATAAGAAGTGCTTTTAAAATGGTAAGCAGCTTGGTTGCAGAGGCTCTGGATACTGGCTCTGCCTCTCTCAATCTTTTAACATAGCGGAGGTATTTCACCACCAGCTCTGGGACTGCCTGGTAGGAGCCATGCTCACCACCTCAGTTCTGGGAAGCAGCTGGCCCATGCTGCCACCAAGTAACTTGCAGCACACTGCCCACAAATCCACTCAAGTGCTCAGCCTACTGAAAGAGCCAGAGCTATTGTGCCGCCAGCATGAACCAGGAAGCTTTCTCTCAAAGAAGCTGCACAGTTTCACGGCCCGCCCCCCATAATGCTGAGTCAGGACGTCTTCTCTTAAAGGAACCGTGCCTCTGCTCGCCACCAGCAAACAGAGCCTATAAGAAAATAAAATGCCTCTGCCAAGAAGCTGCTCTTGGTTCCCATTTTTGTGGGTCTAGAAGCCTTTTTTTTTAATTTTTTAAAATTTTTAAGGTCTTATGTGGATCCATGACCCAGGCAATGAGCGTCATTTGTAAATGGAGACTGCTTGTTTGTTTCCCAGTCGCCCAGACCCAAATAATCACACAGAAACTTTATTAATTACAATACTGTTTGACCTATTTACTCAGGCTTCTTATTAACTAACTCTTATATCTTAAATTAACCCATTTCTATTCATCTGTGTGTTACCACAAGGCTGTGGCCTACCAGTAAGGTTTTGGCATGTCTTTCTTCTTTGGTGTCTCCTTGAATCTGTCTATTCTCTCTGTATATCTCTGTTCATATTTCCTGCCTGGCTTTACTCTGCTAATTCATTGGTCAAAACAGCTTTATTCATCAACCAATGAAAGCAACACAAATACAGGATATCCCACATCACACTCCTATAAAGGCTGTTACTCACATCTATCCTAGAGCTATACCTCAGAATCCAGCCCTGTTTCTGTGATTTATTTGTTTATTACCATATATTAGTTATAAATAATGGGCCTCACTATGATGTTTTCATGCATGCTTTATAATGTGTTTTGATTATGTACCCCCACCACATTCTTGATCCTCTCCCACTTTTTCCTAACTAGCCTCCTCTTCTCTTCTACTTAATTATTTTTTTTAAATGACCCAGTGAGTTTTGTTAGGGTTGCTACAGGGTAATTTTTTTTAATGACCCAGTGAGTTTTGTTAGGGTTGCTAAGGGGTAACACAGAAACAACAACATGTCACTGAAGAAAGAAGTCTCTATTGAGATGGTATTCCACACTGTAGCCCAGGAAGCCCCAGCCTCAAAGGATCCCTCATCCCCTGTCCCTTTCCAGAGTATTAGCGTTTCCAATAGCCCAGGTGATATTGAACTTGCCAAGTAGATAAGCATCCAGTTGGTACCTCCAGGTCACTCTTGCATGATCTAGAAACCCCATTCCTATTTCCCTCTCCAAACTCCATCCACTCAGAGAGTCTCTGAACAATGGAAAAGAACCAAAAATCCCAGTGCTCTATTTTTAGCAGCTACTGCAACTTCCTCTGCTGAAGTTGCCAGCTATCCAAGTCCCCACCTAAAGTGCTCAACTTTTGACCATATGTGCCAGCTTGTGGCAGACACGTTATCACCCCTCGTCTACAACCTATAAAGTCTCCCTGCTTTTATTTGTGGGCACAGCTTCTCTGGGCTCAACCCCTGGGACTGGAGAATCTTCCCGGGAGTTGCTTTGCTCAAATAAACCTGTTTTTTATACTTTTCAATTTGGCTTGATCTGGCTTACTGCTTCGGTAGAGAAACCTACTACTGGGGGGCAGAAAACCAATTAACAAGGATGACTTTGAACTTCTCTTTTGCTGTTGTTGTTTGGGTTGGTTTGGTTTTGTGTTTGTTTTTCGAGACAGAGTTTCTCTGTGTAGTCCTGGCTATCCTGGAACTAGCTCTGTAGACCAGGCTGGACTCAAACTCACAAATATGTGGGATTCCCCTCTATATGCTATAAATATGTTTTATTACCTTTGCTTAATAAAGAAGCTGCTTTGGCCTATAGTAAGGCAGAATATAGGTAGGCAGGAAAACTAAACTGAGTACATGGAGAAAGGAGGTGGAGTCAGGCATATGCCATGTAGTTGCCAAAGGAGAAAGATGATAGAATCTTACCAGTAAGCCACAGCCTTGTGGCAATGTACAGATTAATAGAAATGGTTTTATTTAAGATGTAAGAGCTAGCTCAGAATATGCCTGAGCCATTAGTCAAGCAGAGTTGTAATTAATATAGTTTTGTATATTAATTAATATAAATAAAACTATATAATTAATGTAGTTTTGATTATTTGGGTCTTGGTGTCCAAGAAACCAAAGCACAGTCTTGGTTTACACACAGGGACCTACCTGCCTCTGCTTCCTGAGTGCTAGGATTATAGGTCTGCTCTACCACAGCCTGGGCTTGACCTTGAATTTCTGATTCCCCTGCTTCAATGTTTTGAGTGCTGGACTGACAGATGTGCATTTCCTGGGCTTGACTCCAAGTTCTTTTTCAGCTATGAACTAACCCACACCAGAGGTGGAATAATAATCCGCTTAGAAATCCATCCCATCTCAATGGTTTGAGTGAGTGGTGCCTACACACACACACACACACACACACACACACACACACACACACACACAGAGACTTCAAGCATGCTAAGCAAGTGGTCCACCCAGCCAGGGCATTGTTTTCAGGACTTGAATCTACTGATATTTTTTTCTTAAATTTGTATTTCATGTGCATTGCTGCTTTGCCTGCATGTATGTCTGTGTGAGGGTGTCAGATCCCCTGGATCTGGAGTTACAGACAGTTGTGAGCTGACATGTGGGTGCTGGGGATTGAACCCAGGTCCTCTGGAAGAACAGCCATTGCTCTTTACCACTGAGCCACGTCTCCAGCCCTGAATCTACTGATATTTTAACTACTCTCTGGACCCCACTGCTCCATAGTCAGCACCCCACCGCTCAGACCAGATCCAGGTCTGGTCTAGTTTAGTCAGATGTTGGAGTGAAAACTTGCTAGATCAGAGAAGTCAATAAACAAAGCAACCAGCTGAACTTCCCTTTTGGCCAGAGACCCATCAAGAGAAGCATCTCTCCACTCGTCCCAAATCAAAAAGAAAGCGGAAGTCCCTCCCTACTCTTTCCTGTGCATCTCTCTACCCTTATTCCTCTGTCCTCGTACTCTCTAAGGCTAATTCTTGTCAACTAGTCTCTGACTCCTCTCTCTGATCCAAGGTTAA